TTCAAATTATAAAGGAGTCCCAAATCTTTTTCTATTAAAGCTACAAATCAAGAAAAATTACTTCTTGATAGAATCACGTTTATAAATTTGACTTGAGTAAATGCATCGGAGTATTGGAAAGTATGCAACTTTAGATAGACTTTAATTTGTTACAAAAATCCTCAAATTTTTTATCTTGTTCCATCAAACTTCTTAGATATATTAATCCTTATCTTCGCCATACTTATAGAAGCAAAACTCTCTAGATTTAGTTATAAGGTCGATCTACTTGCTTCCTTAAACTACACAACTTCTTGCCACAAATTGTGAACTTCTTCTATAAGCGTAGGCATAATACCTCCATAAGTCACATTGGAAATACATGAGATTTTTACTGTGAGAGTATTGATAAGCTCATGAAGATCTGTAATAATTACAAATCTATTATCACTTCCGCTAAGAATAGCTTCCATGATCTTTTTTTTCATAGACAAGCCAAAAAAATTCAAGAAAATAAATTAAAAGAAGGTAATCCAAAACCTCTAATAAAAATTTCTACAAAGAAAGGTAATCTTTTCTCTTTAAGAAAAAGATTAGTATTAGAAAAAAATAAAAAATAAAAAATAAAAATATTCAAAGGTGGATAATCCACAACCTTCAAAATATAATAAAAGAAGTAGGACAATCCACTTACTTTTAAAACAAGACAAAAATAGTAGATTAATATTCTTTTCAAACTATTAAGGATATGAATCTTGAGGAAAGAAAATCCTTAATACACTCATGTATCTCTGAAAGGAACTAGAAAGACACTCAAAGATGATATAAAATTGAACTGGAATGGCTATTATCAAAAACAAAAAGACTAGAAAGTCTTAGAACAAGACTTAGGACTAGAAAGGCATTGACAAGAGTGAAGAAGGCTTCACTCTTTCCTCCATATATACTCTCTAACTAGGAGCTACATGGTAATATTCTATAGGTCCTCCAATATGTATTGACTTTTCTAGCCACATGTCTTAACTTGCAAGGCAAGTTATCTATATATGTGCCACATAGTTAGCTTGTTCTACAAGCTATTACATAGAGTTAATTTGTTCCACAAGCTACCAACATGTGATTAACTTGTTGGCCAAGTTTCTAACTTATAAACACATCTAAAGTCAAAACCGTATCTATGAAGTTTTTAAAAAACTTCTTTAGAAGACTTTATGAAATTAATCTATATTTACCTATATCTACCTAATCATATAAGTAACTATTGAGATAAATGTATATGTTTGTGACATATAGTCAAGTGTATTGTGCAAGTATCAATTATGTCTTTACTACTAATTAATCTTTCTAGTAATTAAGACATACTATATGAGGTAGTTCTCTTAGCTAAAAGTAAAGAAACATTCATATGTAGTTATGCAGATATTGGTTGCATATCATAAGAAATAGACATTAAAGTACAATTTATTTTTTAAGTTTAATTGAAAACTTAAAATAAAAATTTGATGTCACATGATGTGAAATTTGGTGCCAAATCTTGTCAAATATAAGTATTTAGTGGTTTTTTTTTTTTTTTTTTTCCATTTAGCTTTTTTATTAGTTGACTTTGTTAATATTAATTAAATTTTGAATACTTAGGTAAAAAAACCTCTTAACTTGACATTCTTGTCAAATCAAGTCTTGTGAATGATTTTGAGGAAAAAAAAAAAAAAAAAAAAAAAAAAAAAACTTGTTGTAAGGATTTACTTGGCTATGGTGATTTAGCCATTTTAGTAAAATTTTAGAGTTTTTTCTATTCTTCACACTTTCACTCTTAGATTCCCTCTTTGTGGTGTAAGAGGTAGCTTGAATTATTTGTGTGTAGATTCATCATTTTTCCTTAAGAGTGTATTAGTTATGCATTTGTATTTGATTTAGATTACATGCTTTGTAATTGATTTGTAGTACTCAATGTATTGTGTATAAAAATATTTGTTTATATCTATAAAAAAAATCAATGTATTGTGTATAACAATATTTTTTTACATCTATATAAAAAAAATCTATATGTATATACATACATATATATATATATATAGTATCATTTAAGGAAGTTTGTAATATTTGCTATATTAATTTCTTTGCTACTTAAACTTCTATGATTAAAAATTCTTAAAGAATTATCTATGTAGAATTTTTTTCAAATATTTAATTCTATATTATTTAAAGTTATTACTTTAGATTATATTTATATAAAAAATTGGTTTTTAATATTAAAAAAATACATACTTGCAATTGTAGAAAATGGAAACATAATAAGCATTCTACTTATTATTTCTTCTTCATTTATTTTTAGTTGAAGATATTCCTTTTTGATGTATTTGCTTCAAATGAAAGATCCTTTAATTCTGTGGTTGAGATTCATCCTAGTGATATCTTAGTTGGATGTGATTAATTTGAGTTTGCAGTTTTACTTTGTAATCCAAAGATATCAGCCACAGCAAGATCATTTGGTACACTTGCATTCTTACATTCAAAATGAAGGGCTTGCAATTCGGCAAACACAGTGCATGCGAGGGATTGTCCTCTCAACAACAATCTAAATCTTTCTGCGTACAAACACATGTTTATGACCCTAAACCTAATTGTAACTTATTCTTCCAAAATGTCAGCTTGAGTTAACAATCACACCTGTAGTGATGGTATCATTGTGAATAGTGAACTGCGATTAGTTCATTTTGATTAGTGATCCTGTATCACTATGCAGACTACAGCTGTGAAGACGTATTTCTCTACACAATTGTTGATGGTGAAATTGACTATGACTGCGCAAAAATTCAAGTTCTTTCCACCTCAGTTGCCGTCAGCACTGGATTAATCCAATCGTATTAATTAGAAGTTTTTATTGACAATTGGGTTCCTAGTATAGATGAACAAACGAGACATCGATGTACAAGTGAAAATTCGTTATGTTTCCTGCAGTTTACGAATGTACTGTAGAAGCTATACTCAAGCCCAAGTGATGAGAAGCCATATGTGAAGTGCTTTTTCTTTCTGCATTCAACTTCACAAGCTGCAGGACATGATTTCCATGTACAGGAAATGCAGGAGTATCTCATCATTTTCTTACATAATAAGTGGAGAAGTACCTCTATTTATACTTTTATTAGGGTTTACCAATGATCTACGAAGGTTTACCGAAGCTCTAGAAATGATCGATGAGAATGGAAATTCCTTGAGCAATGAAAACTCTCCCTGAAACATGAAAGTCAGCTTCAGCAGACTCATCTCACGTGGAAGTACTAAATTTTACTGAGGCGATGTTCTTCATCTTTGTTCCATTAATCATGTGATGATGTTGCAAAAAAAAAAAAATGGTATGATTGCTCACCTGTGCAGCCTCTTGAATGGTAACTCTTCAGCATTGATATAAAAATCAACACTTCCATGCTTATCACCCATTACTCGAGTAACCTGGATTCGATATTAGCTTTCACAGAAAATAAAAAATAAAAAATAATGATAAATGACAAAGAATTAAAAACAATAGTACCTAAATTAGGAAGAGGAATTTAGGAAGAAACAGTAAATAAGTAAATAAATAGAGAGAGAGAGAGAGAGAGAGAGAGAGAGAGAAATAACAGTAAAAACGAACGCTGCGTTCAGATGCCTTCATATTTATATATATATATATATATACATACATCTAAAAACAATCTCTATAAGTAACTATAAACTAGGACAAAATAACAGTTATGCGGGTACCAATTAACCAGATTGGACTGTAGCAGTTTAACATCTCTGTATTTGGAAGAGCTTTAACAGGCGTTCACTGTCGCTTCACAACCGAGACAAACTGAAAGTCCTCTCTGCAGGATCTGAGACGAAGGGTGTTGACACTGCGTTGGATGCAAGGTGGAACAGCTCACAGGGTGTTTGCAAGGCGGTGTAGAAAGTACAGCTTTACAGATGTAATGTGAGCAAAAAAATAAAAATGAATGCAGCGCACAATCCAATGATAAGGTCATCAAGTAAGCTACAAGTGGAGCTCATGGCTGGCAGGTGATGAGGGCCGGGGAATTCTTCATGACGGACAGTTTGCTGACATTGCCAAGTACACCGCCCATCCCTCGAGCCTTTGCGGTACAAGTGATCATCAATACATGCAATGTTCGGTATTCCCAGTCGCTGCAGATAGAAAGAATAAAAGGGCATGTTCTCTTACAACACCGAGAGTCTCTCACCATGCGTTTTCAGTAATTGGGGATTTATAATACCGATGATAGCTTAAGAGCCTGCAGCTTACCCACCGCGTTGGTAGATAACCAGGATCTGTTGTGAACATTTCATTTACCAAACTAATCTCTTGTAGAATCATTATGTACTGCAAAAGTTGATTAGGCATTAACATCTATGCAGCTGGTGTGGAGAAGAAGATGCGAATCTAGACAGCGCATCTCGGTGCTTCTGGGGAACAGGGTTTCATTCAGAGATGAGGTGAGATGGCACAGGCGTGCCACAGCTTGGGCTGTTGCGATTCCAGGCTGTGATCCAGCGGATGAACCGCGTTTTGGATACAGATCGATCAAGTAGAAGCAATAGATTCGAGAATCGTGTTGGACTGTAGAGGTATAACCCAAGGGGATTTTGAAGCTTTGGTTACAATTGAGGGGGATGCACCTGAAAGAACTGTCGGACGATTCTGGAAAGATTTGACTCGGGGGTATTTTTTTTCGTTTTTCTTACCCCGACACGTCGATCTCAAGCCAATTCTACCACGGAAAGGAACGAAAACGTAGGCCACCAACCAGGATCGTAATCGGGTCCCGCGCGTGGCCACGGATGTATGTATAGATGCAGCAATCAAGCATTCCCCCGTTTTCTGCCCAGGCGACGATCTTGGTACTCTAGCTTGCCGACTTTCTCCCACGCAATGGCAGTGATAACACACTCATCATCTTCGTGGAATAGAATTGCTCAGATGACTTACAATGCGTCCAATGTGGGAGTGCCAGTTTCACTTCTTACATGGCAGTCAAGCTTCATAACTTCATAAAACTAACCAGCTCAATTCATTGGGAAAATAAACAATTCATCATACTGCACACGGTTATAAGGACAGGGAATCATTGTTTCCCATGCGAAGAGTTTGCTAAGCGTGAACTTGTAGACAGCAAACTACGCATTGATGAATCACCGTTTTCACATCAGAGGGGCAACAACTGACGCGAACGGCGGTAACATGTTCGACTAGGGAGCTAGCAATGGAGCCAGCTCGCTCCAGCTGAGAGCGAGGTTCAAATAATAATGGTTCTACCTCAAAGCGGCGGAACGCAGGGGAGTAATTTAGAAAGCATAAATGATTGCAAGTAAATCTACACAGGCCACCCAGCAGGACTGATCCACGGCGCGAACATCGCCTTCAATCGCCAACCAGAGGAAAGAATGCATCAGTCTGGCAAGCCACGCACGTCATTGCGCTGAGCGCGTTACGCCTGTCCAGCGCACTGCTTTGTACCCGGGTGGTACATCCATGGGACGAGGTATTTGCGACCTCTAGCACCGTGCACATTGAAGCTGGCGCCTTTCGAGTCAACAAGCAGGTCCCCAGGATATCCAGGGAATGCGTTGGGCCCGTAAGTTCCTGCGCACACCCCTGCAACCTCAAGAGGGTCCCTGGGATCGCCCTGGAAATACCCGTTTCCATAGGGGTTGGTCGCCGCGCCAGCAATCATACCCGCAATGTTGATGATCATACCGTCCACTCCAGCATCACCATTGGGGGCCTTCAACGGGGGCGTGTCCGGTCCAGTTCCAGGCGCTGGTTTGAAAAACGGCCAAGCGCAGTACCCGCCACAGAATTTGGCTGAATTTCCAACCCACACGTAAGGAAGCTTGTTCCTCTTAGTGAGACTCTGCGCGGGGATCACTGAGTGGGTGGCGCATAGCGAGCTGCAGAATCCCTGCACGGCGACATCTGGTCCGGTTAGAACAACATACAAACCAGCGGGGTCGAGCACCAATCCCTTCTTCAAGGATGAGACCACAAGCTTCTCGATATCTGCCTGTTTCAAGTTCTTCCCCAAACTGTATTTCCAGTCATGGACTTGGCTACCGAGCACCACGTTCGGTGCAACTGGCGATCTCTTGGTATTCCTGAATCCCTTAGTGATTGCCCACCATCCTTTGACTGTGGGAAACCGCGTCGCAGGCTTCGGGGTGCTAAAAGAATTCAAGAAAGAATGGACGATAGCCTTCTGCGTCAAGCTCCAGGAACCATAGTAGACCACATGCACTTTTAGAACACATTTCCTGTCACCCGTCAAAATGGGCCCCTTGTGATACTTGACGTCGGGGCCCTGATCCACCACAAGGAACTTGCTGTTGACATTGAGATTGTTCTTCACGAACAGATGGAACGGAAGAGCGCGGGATGCATGCGCCCATAACTCATCAGCTCCGGCTTCGGACACTCCAGTCACAGATAAATCATCAGACACTCCGGCCACCACAAGAATTGCAAATACGAGACCGCGAACTGCAACGCAGTGCCAGGAGACACTGTTCCGTCCTGCCATTGAGCGATGCGCGGTTTTAACCGGCACTTGCTGGTACCGAAGCTCCTGTGACGCTCAGCTTCACGGTTTGTATGATTGCACCAACTTCCCTCTCGAATCTGTCAGGGAGGCTAGTCAGATACTAAACGCAATTCAAAGCTTCATAATCAACGACCGCCTTCTGAATTCGAACAAACCAATATGCAGCCCCAAACACTTGTGATCAGATTATCGATAACACCAGCAAAAGAAATAAAAAAGTAAAAATCGCAGTAAATGAACTATTCACTCACTCGAGGATGACGACGCTTCGCTTTCAACTGATTCACAACATCGTCAACCCCTGAGCACTAGATTTTAAACTAATCTAAAGACACACAGACAGATTCAATACAATGCTGAAAGTGAGGCATCCACGCGCGCGGACCGATACAATGAAACCTACACCACATTGCACAAGATTGCAGAAACCAGAATCTCCTAAGCCGCGAACTGTAGATATGCTACACGGAGGTTGATTGGAGGCGTGCGAGATAAAAAGACAACCTGGGTATTTCCGAGCACAGGGGAGCTCCAATGGAGAGAGCAGGGATGGCCCTGCAGGACGGGGACAAGCAATGCAATGCGTGTTGGTAGAAATATCACCACCAGAAGATGGGTGTTTCAGGCAAATGTGGCAAAGAGCGCTGAGTGCAGCTCGCGAATGAGGCAAGCGCGAGAGTTAAGGAGCAGAGGTGCGATCGCCACTCTTTCGGGAATCGCACGTTCTTTCCTCCCCATCGCAACAGCGATTACGCACATCATCCATCGTCTCCCTCGCATCTTCACAGTTCTTTCCCTCCCTTCCCTGACTCTCTCTCTCCCGCTTCGCGTTGCAGTTGGCCCACCCACCCCCTGGTAACTTCCCCACCCCGCGTAAAACGATACGCCCTTCGACTGGCAAGGCAGTGACCAAAAATCACGCTGTGCACATCGAACCCACATCGGATCTGCTAATCTCAAAATTAGCCCATGTCACTGCACCCGAGGATAATCTTCCTTAATCCACGGACAACATATTTTACCGATAGGCACGGTGGGGGCATCGAACAGGCTTCGCAACTGAGGATAGCAGCTCCAGCGGTGTCATCTGAGCAAAAACGATAATTTGAATGGCCTTGACGCGGCCACAAGCTGCGAGCAGTAGGTGCGCTGGCCGCTATCTGTGACCCACTCAAGCCATGAAAATCTACTCTTCCTCCTTCACTCTACTTGCTAGATCCGTCCCACCCGTTATCTTTTTTCACTTGTGGGGCCTCTCTCTCGGGATATTCTGTCTCTTGTTCGCAGGCCAAATCTAAAGTGCTACGCAATGCTGCTGCTGCAGCTGCCGTTGTTAGTTTTTTTCTATCTGTTTGTGAGGATCAAGCACACCATCCACCATTCTAGTTGCGGATCTATCCACGAACCACATTCATAAAACTTGTGATGTGAAACTGCAAGGCTACTACTTTACGTAGGGCAAGAAAAATAACAAGCTACAAGCTGGTTCTCCATGTCCAGGATTCCACCTTCAAGCAACTGCAGGAATTTCCTTTTCCTTCCTTTCTTTTTTAATTTGGTACGTTGGTTTTTGCCTGATTGCCAAGCAGTTTACATGTTTTCTATGAATGAAAGTTGTGTTTAACTATATACCCGAAGGAGAATCTATAATGTTGTAGAATTCTCATGTTAACCAGGCATAATTAATTAAGACTGAAACTGGGTGAATGTGAATTTCAGTCTTATTTAAGACGAATTGTGAGATGAAATTGTGGGTCTACAATTCAACCGTTTTGTGGATGAATATTGGTCCGGTTCCTTTGGTAAAAGTTACAACTGGTGCATAAAAAGTGATTAGTGCCGTTAATTAATTAAAGAGTACACGTGGCAGCAGCCTAGTCGCTTCTGACATGTCTTCCATGCCTTCCATCTGTCATAATCCTTAAAATTTGGGTTTAACGCCCATCATTCATTCGTTCATCTATCAGGTAGATGAAGGTAGATGATTTTCATCCACTACTCCCATGTGGAATACTTGACCGGAATTGATTTTTTATTCCATTTTCTAATGGGGGAATTAAAGGAAGTGGAAGTGGAGAAATGCCACGATGTGTGTAATTGAAACCTATGGAAAGCAATCAAATAGATAATGTGCTATACTATATATATATATATATATATATATATATATACATCTTGATAAAGTAAGATAAGAAGGGTTTTTTCAACGGAAAATGTGTGTATATATATATATATATATATATATATATAAATATATTGTTCCGACTCAGTGAAGTGATAGGGTGTGAACACAACATTGTATTTGAAGCTTATTAATATGTTTAGAAAATAATTTGGTAGTGAAAGTGTTCCCAGTCTAAATAACGTAGTTGGCAATATCACCCTATTAATTATATATATATATATATATATGGAGAGAGAGAGAGAGATGTATGTGTTACTAAATCCAAGAGCACTAATATGGATTATTCATAGATATTCGACAATGATCTATATTTTAAAACAACTTCATTTATTGATTATTTTTTATAATTAGACGCGCTCTCACAACACTTGTGCACCAGTATAATGCACCCCCAAATTAAATGAAATAATATGTTATTTTTTCATTAGCTGGTATTTGGGTGCATAGAGGTTACTATCACAGGATTAAATTTGAACACAGTGTTTGTAAAACATTAATTCAATCCACAATCACTCTTACTGCCCCTCCCAATGATATACATATAGAAAAAGTATAACAGTTGACAAATCAATAACCAGACAGGCATCTTTTCTTTTTCTTTTTCTTCTACTAAATTACAATACCTTGTTGTTCACATCATAATAAATAACGTAGTTGAACTAATTTGAACAGTTTACAAACTTTGATGTACTCCTAAAGCAGAATAGAGAAAGAAGAAATTAACATAATAATTTGAAAAAGTTAAATTAAAATGAACCATACAGTGTGTATATTTTGAATTATGATCAACATGATGGAATTGTTTTTTAAAGATTTGTTCATGGGTAATTAAAAATACATTTTGAATGATACTCTCAAACTTTAAGCAATTTTTTTGTACACACAACAAATTTCCTGAACATGAGGGTCAATTTGGCAATAATCAAAGTGGAAATAAACATTGATTTGGTGTAATTGCAGGATGCATTTTCAAAGGCATCTGAATTTGTTAAGTGTAAAATCAATAGGCACAGTAAGTTATCACCTACTGTGATATAAATGGATTGGAAAACTTTCCCCATTTTGCACAAAGTTTATATACTTTGTTTATAAAACAGGTGTAAATAGTACGTTAATTTTGTAATGTGACAATGATCAATCCTGAAAAATCTCACAATTCGAAGTGACAGTTCCCACTTATGTTAAAAAAAGCAAGAAATGCAAACAAACTTGTAAACCTAATAATAATATTATTTTAAATCCTCGCTCATTCATGTCAGCTAATGCTTCAAAATGGTGGGTATTCTTTACATATACATATATATATATATATATACATCGAATCAATCATCCAAGATTTTTAAGTGGCTCACGCCTGTAAAGACATACAGCTCCCTGTAACTCTTTCACAAAGCATCTGGTTTCTAAATAGACTTCCCGAAAAACCCACATTAAGATTTGGATTTATGATTTCCTGCTGGTTCCAAAAACAAAATGTCAAAACTTCAAACACACATTATGCATGACAGAATTAATATCCTTTTATTTTAGTTGTGGGATCTTCACCCTGTGAAACAATTCATTTACTCTTTCTGTTTGTAAGCAAATTGTCTCGTGTGTTGGTTTGTTAGTTAGTTTGTGTGCCATCTTATATACTATATAATATTGCTTTGTTTTTCTGTAATAAATAGCGCATCATGACTTGTACGTATTTATAAAAAGGCCAAAATTCCCGTCCCCTTGCTTCCGAGAGAATCCTTCGCAGTCCTAGAGCTCCTCACGGCTTGAAGAAATGCAAATACACACCACCACACGAAAATTGGCCAGCGATAAAGCGTAGACTGTGTGATTCTGTGTGTGTGAGAGAGAGAGAGTCAAGCGACGACGCAGCTGCTGGCAATGTCGCTTCTCACTTTGCTGCTGCTGCTATTGCTGCGACGACGCAGCTGAATCCGCAGGCAATACGGTGTAGTAGGGTCGGATGAGATTAGAAAGCCTGAGCAGGGGGACGGCAGCGAGTGAGCGAGTGCCGCATGTCCATCAGGTTGGCAGGATTATCCGGGAGATCAGCGGACTCGCAGCAGCACCTCCTCCGTCCCTCCAGACGCTGCATTGATTCAGGAGCTCTGCGCCCACTCGGATTAGAAACACACGCATCGTTCGGACCCTCCCCCCCGATTCGAATCCCACTAAGGGAGGGCTGATGTTGTTGCATTTCATTGCGCACTGGCATTCAGCAGCTGCTACGCCACAATCTCAGCAGCTCCGAAAGCAAATTGCCCTGCGCTGCTGCTGCTGCAGCCAACGACAAACCCTACAGACAGACCCACGAGATCGCTGTGGCGCATAACAGCCATCGCCAACAGTTAATTAAGTTCATGTCAGAATCCCCATCTATGGATTAAATGGGCTATTAAAATGATTGATGACTGTTCCTTTTGTTATCGCTGGGACCAGAGTGATCCTATCTGGAATTGGCAGACGCGGGATCGATTCCTCATGATTGCACACATTGCAGCACTTACAATAGTGCGTCAGCTGGTAGAGCGAGCGGTTGGTAGAGGAAGAGCCAGGAAGAGCGAAGTAGAGCGAGCTGAGAGGTTTAGCGATGGCGGTGACGTATTTTCACATAAGTTTAACCATGTTGTTGTAGGGAGTTTAGCATTGAATCACTCACCATTGTCTATCAATATCCACAGTTGATTAAGAGAACATAATTTTTAGGATGAGTATTCGTCTAACACAACACTTATAATTTAGAGCCATCACTGTCCTATTATTTTGAATATGAAATCTAAATGACATCAAGATTGAGCATTGTACCCTTGACAAGGGAGCTGTGCCCAAGCACTCTGTCCACCCTCAATGATCCAGAGCAGATGTGAGCTCTATTCTTGATAGATATGGTCCAAAAGTTTGTACCATCGGCTAAATGTCAGTGTACTCGGATCTTAGTTGAAATGTAATTTTGATATTCTATAGACAATTTTCTCAACTAAAGAACTAATTGTCATAGAAGCCATCTAGAACAAAGTCATGCACATTATAGTCATCGACCATGTCTTGGACAAAAGCCTTTGACAACATACTTTAAAGGAATGGATGCTGACTATTCTGTATTAATTGATGCAAACCTACTTGCTAGTAGGTAGCAGGTTCTTCAAGGTCACATTTTTGTCACCAAAAGGCATGTACAACAACCTCTACTCCATCGTAAAATACAAGGGCAAGGAAATACCTTTTACTCCTTAGAGTCCCTTCTTCTCTGTACAAAATAAGGATTCATACAAATACTTATCATGTTTTATTTAGATTTAGTTTTGGATTTGATTCAATATCTTTGCTAAGAAAATTTTCTAAACATCATTGCCTTACATCTAGGCAAAGTCATGCTGATTAAAGAAGCATCATTCTACACAAACAAGATAAAGGAATCCAAAGTCAAACTTTGAATCTAAGATGTTATCAAAATACTAGAAAAAATTAGCTTCTCAGATCCGACTCTAAATACATTATTAGTATATAAGATTATAATTTTAGGGGATATAAACAAATACTCCAAATACCTAGATTTTGGATATACTATTAG